TTCCTCCATGGCCTGTGCTCCAGCTCCTGTCTCCAGGTTTCTGCCCTGAGTTTCTACCTTGGGCTCCCTGATGAACTGTGACCCAGGAAATATAAGATAAATAAACCCTTTCCTCCCCAAGTTGGTAGTGGTCAGAGTGTTTCATCACAGCAATGAAGAAACAAACTAGGACATCTGTAAACCCAGCACTCGGGGGCCTGAAGTAGAAGGATTGCCAGGAGTTCAAGGCTACTTTGGGATAAGTACCATGCCAGCCAAGATATTCATCCTGGATCCCATTCACTTCTAGCACAGCAAAGCATCCTGAGGGGGCAACAGACACTGGGTGGGTGCAGTCCCTGCCCTCTGTAGCTCTCTAGCTCACAGTTCAAAGCATTCATCCCCATTGGACTCAGGAAGGCCAGCAAGTACTTGTGCCTTGACTAAACATTGGAGGTCGAAGATTTCAAAGTGCACAGATGGATTAGACTGTGCTTCCCTGGCAACGCATTTGTTTCCTGATTTTCTTTATCTTTGCTCATTTGCCATGCTATGTGTGGCTTGCTTTCCAGAGTGAGCACTTTGGATACTAGGTCAATAGTATTTCCTTTAGGCTTAATTTCTTTGTGGAGTTTAAATAGGCGTCAGAGGCACGGGCTCAAATTTCGACTTTGCCACTTGTTTGTTGGGCTCCTGGGAAACTCACTTTGTCTCCTTGAACTGGCTAGTACTGCCTTGAAGCAGGAAAGGAAACAACGCAAGAACCTGATGGCACACGGCGTCCTCAGCATATGTTCCTTCTCTCCTCTTCCTAATTACTCTGTCCTTGCCACCAAAATCATCTTCTCGGAATCCTCGCTGAAGTGACGGTCAATGGCACAGTTGGGTGTCACTAGCTGCCAGAGACTTTGCTGCCATGAGCTCTCTGCAGCCACACTTGGGACCTGGTGGTAGAGGGTAACATCAAAAAGAAAAAATAAATAAATAAAAGTTAATGTTATAAGAAATCAAGTTCTGAAGAATTTCCAATTTTGAATATATTTTTTTCTTATTAAAATTATTTATGTATGTATTTGTTTGTTTGTTGATTGGTGTCGAGGTTGAGCTCAGGGTGCACATGTGCTAACACACTCTCTACTGCTCCGACGCATCTCCATCCCCAAATGCACAGCTTCTCTTCTTTTGGATGATCTAAATAATTTAAACAGGTTAATCGTTTCACTAGGTTAAGCAATTTATAAGCCATATGGGATTTTTTTTTTTTTTTTTTGAGACATGTTCTCACTATGCAGCCCAGGCTAGTCTTGAAATTATGATCTTCCTGCCTCAGCCTGTCAAATGTAGATATCATACCTGGCACATTTTTATTTATTTTTCGTATCAGGTCTAAGAGCTTTTTGAGTACAGGCTCCAGATTATAGATGATTTCAACTTACAGTTTCTCTGGATATGACCATTTGGGGTTTGTTAGGGTCATAGTTATGTGTGCAACTTCCTCATGTTGCAATTTTTCCTGGCATGGGGGGGGGTCTGGCTGTGTACCCCAGGTTAACCTTAAATCCACAATCCTCTCATGAACTGCATCTTGTCCAGCTTACTACATCTTTAACCAAACTGTACATTTCCCTCTGTTGCATGAAGAGACACTCTCAAATACCCCTGCACTGTGTCTATGGCCAATGGGCAGAAAACACACTGAGTTATGGTCACTATGTAGACCAGGCTGGCCTTGAACTCACAGAGATCCACCCACCTCTGCCTCCTGAGTGCTGGGATTAAAGGCGTGTACCACCACGCCCTGCCCTCATTTATTATTTTTATTTTACTGTATGAGTGTATTGCCTGCAGGTGTGTAAATGCAGTGCCCTTGGAGCTCAGAAGAAGGTGCTGGATTCCCCTGGAACTGGAGTTATGAATGGTTGTTAGCTGCCATGTGGGTGCTGGGAATCAAACCCAGGTCCTCTGGAAGAACAGCAAGAGCTTTGAATTGCTGAACCATCTCTCCAGTCCTGGATTTTAGATTTTTAAGTAATCGAGAAATAATTTAAAGGAAGAATACTTCATTATTTTTAATTTATTTTTAAGGGTTTCTTTAACGTGGCATCTTCATACTTGCTGTCATGCTGTGTCCTCAGTGGCCCACTCCTCCACTGTCCCTCCTCGTCCCTCCTCCCTCCAGCCGAACCCCATTCTTCTTCCAGTTAGTTCTCCCTTCTATATTCCGATTACATGGAGGGAAGAATATTTTATGACACAGGAAAATGACATGATATTCAAATTCCAAGCTGGGTGTGGTGGCACATACTTGTGATCTCAGCCCTCCAGGCAGAGGCAGGAAGATTGTTGCAAGTTCAAGGCCAGCATGGTCTAACGAGTTCTAGATTAGCCAAGACTATGTAATAAGGGTATCTCAAAAAAAGACAAAAAGTCAGGATAGGAAGATGGCCACAGTGGGTACTTGCTGCCAAGGTGAGGATCTGAGTTTGATCCTGGAAACCCATGGTGGAAAGTGAAGACCAACACCTAGAAATTGTCTTCCAGCTCCACACAGGTATTGTGGTACTTGCACGCCCTTGCACACACATAATAATAATTATTTTAAATTCAAATTTTAGTTTCCTGAAATGATTTGGATGGAACATAAGCATGTTTATGTGTTGTCTATGACTGACTGCTTTATTATAACTACTGACTCAATGGCTGACATTCTTGTGCTTAGCTTTTTTAAAAAAATTTTATTTATTATTTTTATTTTATGTGTATGTGTTGCAAGAACAACCAGTGTTCTTAACCACTGAGCCATCTCTCCAGCCCTGTGCTTAGCTATGAAACGCTGCAGTCCTGGGGCTGGGATGTAGTGCAGTGGTAGAGCACTTGGGCAGCAGGCATAAGGCCCTGGGTTCAATCCCCTGTCTCAAAAAGACCAAATAATAATAATAATAATAAATAAAATTTTTTAAAAGATCTAAAACCCATTCTTAGTTCTTAGGCCATATAAAAACAGGCAATGGGTTCAATTTGGCTTTTAACTATAGTTTGACGAGTTAAGAGGGAAAGCCAGGATTTGAGCCTATAAGCAATAATATAGTCTGTAAGAGGAAATAAAATATGCCAATCTGCCACTCATGAAAATCCCCCTCCAGAAATAGCTTCTATGGCTAGTTATTTCATGCACTTGCCCACTGTTTTGTAGTATTAAATTTTGTAATTCTAGTTTTTCATTAATGAGAAGCTGTACAATAATGATAATTAGACACACAGTTGCTCATTTTAAACATACTGGGAAGAAACCCCTCGTTTGAAACTCTACAGCTAATCTTCCCTAAATAAGGAATAATCCTATTATGAAGTAAGCAGTTGGTCTCCTAGTGTGCCTGCGCCACATCTCTACAATCCTGTACTTTGGATTTTGAAATCCTCTGTCTGCAGCAGGGGGGCAGTAAAAGTCTTTGCAATGGCCAGGCCTGCACTTGATTCTCCTTGCCCCTTTTATTGTCTTTCCCATACCTCGGTTTCTCCAGGGGGAATCTAAAACTGTGCATATTGTACCCACCACGTGCCTGATGGGACCTAACCCTGCGCCACACCACCAGCTTAGTCCCCAGCACCATCCACAGGAAAGAGCCGGTTTTGCAAAGGACCACACAGAAAGTGACATTTCTCATTTGTGCATTATGAAAGATTTCTCCCTAGGAGTGGGGATGAGAAGCCCAAGCAGGGCATCCCTGGAAAGAGGAAGGAGGTGGGTGTGACTAAAAAGAGGCCTCCCCAGCCGCCCTCCCGCCCCACCCGCCCCACCCCCACTTTATTGCAAAGTTTCCAAACTGAGGCAAGTGCCCAGGGCTCACACAGCAGGTAGCCTTCTGACATAGCAGAGGCTGAGCTCTTCTCTCCCAGGCAGGAGAACCTCCAGGTCAGACAAGAACCTCCAGGTCACAGCAGGGACAGGATTCCCAGACCAGTGGCAGCGAAATGGACCTAGAGCTGAGGCCAGCAGCCCCCGGACCCGATGGCCACAACAACGCAGCCTTCCAGGTGAGCAGGGCTGGAAAAACCTGGCTTTCTTCAGGTCTGGCAAGGTTCTTAACCAGAGCAGTGGGATTGCCGGGCCACAGGCAAGATTAATTCTTTAAATGGACACGTTTATCGTGTATTATTTTTCCGTCTTGGGCTCTTCTGGGTTGACAAACCTGAAAAGTCTCTTTCTAGGTCCTGTGTTGATCTTGCTTTGTCGCTCAGAAACAAGCTGCCTTCCTCACGTTTTCTGCCCCTCCGCTCACAGCCCATGCCAGCACTGACCTTCAGGCTCCTTCTAAACCTGGAAGTAAAGAGCAGGGTCCACAGATCCAGATGGAGGTGTCAGAGCCCCGATGGGTTCTCAGTCCCTGTGGAATGTGGCCAGAGGAACCTGCCTACTTTTGCAAACCTGTGTGTCCTCAGCCAAAGCTACTGAGTAATTAATACTTCTAGTCCCTGGGCTGGGTGCCACAGGTGGCCCCAGAGAGAGGCCTGTCAGTGACAGCAGGCCACTAATACCCTACCCTGCCTGGGTGGGTGAACTGGGGAGAGGGAGGGTCTGTGAACCTGGATTTGAGTTGCTCCTAGATGTGTTGTCCTTCCTCACTTAGAAAACAGCATGAGAGCTTTAGAAAAATACCAAAGTCCACATGCAAGGGGCTCAGCAACCCTTGTGCTTTCTGGGCCCTAGATGGGCAGAACACAACTTTTAAATGTTAACAAAAGAAGAAAGTACTAGGGCTTCACATGAGCCCTGACTCTTCCACCCACAAGTTACTGTAACTTCCCTGAGCCCCAGGTTGATTGTGTATTAGTTGCAGTGATGCCTGAGCTGTGAGAATTAAACTGATAAAAGACAAGTTAATGGGAAGAAAAGAGATGCAATTTTTTAAAAACTGTATTTATTATTTTTATTTTGTGTATGAGTATATTGCCCACATGTATGTAAGTGCACTTGTGTCATGCAATGCCCATAGAGGTCAAAAGAGGCTCCTGTGTCATGCAGTGCCCATAGAGGTCAAAAGAGGGTGTTGAGTCCCCTGGAACTGGAGTTACTGGCTGTTCTTAGCCTCCATGTGGGTGCTGGGAATTGAACCCGGGTCCTCTACAAGAACAACCAGGGCTCTTAACCGCTGAACCATCTCTCCAGCCGGGCATGCAATTTTTATTCATATTTTAAATTTCACATGTATAGGGTCTCCCAGAAAAGAAGTGAAAAGTCCACAGGCGTAGTTAGAGTCCAGAGCTTGTGCACTGTTTACCACAATGTGGATGAGAGCATAGGAAAAAAGGCTTTAGAGTCTATAAATTATGAGGGGCTGATGTTTGTTTATGCAGATTTATCCCAGAACCTGGTGATAAGGCCCTTCTCTGCCTTGAGTGACCCCAAGGGAGAGAAACCTATGAGCTGCTTTAAGAGGACAAGGAGGCCAAAGCTCTGGGCTTTCTCTTCTGTGCCTTCAGTTCAACATATTTTTAGGTGACACTGGCATATTTTGAAGGTGGCGTATCCAGACGTCCTTCGTAAGCATTGGGGGGGCAGGGGGAGGGGGTTAAACATGGGACCATCACTCAGAAGAATGGGAAGGTCGGCAAGGGACAGAGTTAAAGTAGAGTTCGCAGTGATTTGGATGAAAGAAAGGGCGTCTGCAGCAGGTCTGTGTCACCAGGACCTGACTATTCACAGACAGGAGTGTACAGTAGAGACTCTGTTTTATTCTATCAAAACAGACCATCCCTGGATTCCAGGGTTCTTAGTGGGGCACCCTAAGCCCAGTGGTCTACCATAACACTGACATCATCCCTGGCAAGCAGAGGCTCAGTTATTTCTTCCAAAGCTTGTTTTTCCACAAGAGTTTCTGGAGACCCATATTTACTCAGCAGAATCATTAACTGTCCCCTAGATATAGCCAGAGCTAAGAGGGGAGACCAATTCAAGCAGGCAGCCCAGCCCTTGTCCCCAAGAAACAAAGCACTTACAGAAAGATGTGATGGGGAAAAGTACCTTGAAAATCAGCATGGAATTGGAGCTGAGCTTACTGGGGCACGCTGACAGTGCCACAGAGGGAGTGAGAACTTCGAAGGGCTTCCAGGTGAGCAGAAAGAGAGGGTCAATGGAGCATTCAGGCAAAGACAGCGATCTATGCACAGACCTCCCCCCCC